CAGCGTGTGGGGCAGGCAGGGGCGTCTCGCTGCGGCACCCCCTCTCTCCCCCCAAAAATGCGTGTGGCTCCTTTTTCCCCCGTTTTATCAAAACGGGGACGATTAGACAACATCTCGTGCAAGGTGTCAGGTCCCAATTTGACTAAGTTGGGCTTATTAGTACAATGGGTTCGATTATGCCTTATTTTTTGATTGTATTGTTTAGGCTGGAAAGTTGCTTCCCACTGGCGATACGGCTGCGAGTTGCCTCACTGAGGTTTTACCCAGGGTGAGTTGGTTTTCCAGACACTCCTTGTGAAACTTCTGTAATAATTTCCCATTAGTGATTGTGCTTTGAGACAGGCCCTAAAAAAAAAAAAGAAAATCAGTGAAATCTTGGTCATTTTTTCTACATCCTGTCTCATTAGAAACAACTTTTTTTTTTTTTTTTAATGTTAGTTTTTATCACATGGGATGATAGAGAATAGCTGGTAGGATTGTAAAACACTTCTGGCAGTTCTTTTTCACTCTGCATGTTTTACGAAATTCACCATGCCTGCTTAGGTGGGACTACATAGAATTGTTTTAGACAGTTTTTCTCTGGTAATACAATTATAGTGATTATTATTAGGAATTATTATTACTTCTGATGGAAGTCCTTCTTCTTTATCAAGGACGCCCCTCAGAATTGTGCTTACCACTGGCCCTTCCCCATGCCTCTGAAGAGTCAGAGCGTACTGAGACACAAACGGATCCCTTAAATAGCAGCTCTCCCTTTAAACGGGTAATTAAAAAAACCCCCAAAACTGTGGTTAAAATAATTTCTGAAATTGCTTCATTGATGGTGGAATTGTTGTGAATCAGGTTAAAGGTTTCTGAAGTTGATAAATGTAACATCTGCTTTTCATGAAGTATACGTGAAGAAGCTGTTATCCATCTTAAAGATGGAACCAGATGGTTGAAACTTAGCAATTCTCTTGTTAGTTAGATGGTTTGATAAAATTTAGGCTGGGCTATGTTGACCTTACGCTCAGAATATCAGCATCTGCAGGAGTGTACGTATATGTTACAGCCCTAAAACGTACTCGTGTTTTGTTCTTATCTCTGTGGAATCACACTGAAATGGCTGCAGTACATTTTCTTTTCAAGAATATTTTGTGAATATCTGGTGTAAAATTGTTTTTGCTTTGCCTTATATATAGCCCATTACTCCAACTACTGTGCGGAAGTTTCGAAACACAACAAATCCAGCTCCTGGTGTTGAAAGAATATTCTACGGCAGAGCAGATGATCCTGAGATTGCACCTCACTTGACACATGGCATAGAGTCACGTTCTTCACTCAGTGTAAGAATGTGACTCGTTTACTTCTCTTTAAGAATGAACCGCTTAAGAATGTCCTTAATACGAGCAACTGATTTCTTCATAGTCAGGGATAAAGGGACATAGCTGAGTGATTTACACTGCAGCATTTCATTGCTGTTGTGGATTATCTGAATTCTGAGGTCAATTCATAGGATTTAATTAGCATGATTGAAACAGGAATACGCTTGAAGTTCAGTGACTTTTATCAGTGACTTAACTTTTGCAATAACTACTGAATTATTCACTTCATTCCAACATTTAAATTAATGAACAGTCTTCTACCCACAAATTTTGCTTTCTTTTTAACTGATTGCAGAGGTAAAACTTGGTGAGCTCTTAGCAAGAGAACTGCTATCTGAGAATGTGCTTATAGTTCAGTGTAATTATTATGTATTCTTTCTTACCTTTGGGTTGAAACCAATTTTGTTAGCTAAAAAGTGATGTTTTGGATATGTCAGACTATTTTGTGTGTATTCTTCATTTCAGAAATTATTTTTGTAATCTGTAATCAAACAACTGAAGAGATCATTGGTGATTTTATCACATAATTATTGTTCAAATCTCTAAAAATAACAGTTGTGTTAGTAAAATACACTTTTATGATACATTTCATCAGCTGGGCTTGTAAATTAATGGTTTTAAATTTTATAAATGAGGAAGTTGAGGCAAAGAGGAGTTCAGGTCTCAAAAATAAGTCTTCAGGTTGAAACATGTAAGTCCTGGTATTAGAGAATGTTGAGTAGGACATTTATTAGGCATATCCAAAATGAAAAAAAAACAGATTCTTGGTGTATGTCCTCAGAAGTTTTACATTGAATGGATTAATTTGTTTAGCCTGTACTGTCTGTTGAAGACTGTTTCACTTTGCATTATTAATTAAATATTAACTGGAGGAAGAGCTGGAATCTTAGCAAGTTCTTTAAGCGTGGGTTTGGATCAATTGTATTTGCTGCTACTTTTTTCAATATTTCTTTATATAACATTCAACAAGAGTCTAATAATAAACCCTCTCTAGAGTTCCCATTACTTTGATACTTTGATGGGTAGCCTGAAAAATCAAATGATTTGGGAACATCAAAATAGCCTTTTGACATTTTTTAAACTTTTTTTTTGCAGTTTTTTTTTCCTCCTTGAAGCTGACCTAATTTTACAAGTAACTTCTATTGATCCAAGCCCAGCGTGTACACTGAGAAAAAAAATTTGTCCAACCTAGTGCTAAGCTTTGAAAACCCAGTTTAAGTAATTTCTGTTGGTATGTTGTTTTAGGATGCAATCTGGAAATAATATCTTTAAATTCTGCATTGGCAGAATTGGGAGTAGCTGTTTAGAGAATAGATGGTCTTAACCGCTAGACAATTGTGCTGGTTTTGGCACGCAGAGATGTTTTTAATCATAAGCACCAGGAGACTTTGTTCCAAAGATGTTATAACTATAATAATTTTCACACTTAAGTGTTGGTCATACTATAATACTGAAATTTTGGTCATATTATGATTTGACTATAGTTTCTAATATAAGAACAGAAAGGCCCCAGTCTGAAATTTTATAAATTAACAAGTGGAAAAACTCGCATAAAAATCAAAAGTTCTGTCTCACAATATGTATTTTCTTTAGCTGGAGATTTAGCATAGCAATGATTATTAGTGGTCTTCTCTCAAAATACAGTTTTGTTTTGCAACTTGGTAGACAAAATTAGGTCAGTGTAACCATATAAGATCTCATTAGAACACTTGTGATCAAACTTTTGTTCGTGTATGTGTGTGAGGGGGTAGCCATACTGATGTGTGAATGATTAAAATTTGCTGGTTTTCCTGCCACTTGTGTTGTTTGTGATGTTTTTAGGCAGCTTCATTGATAAATCCACTTCCTAAAACTGATTTTCAACAAAAAATACAAGACAAAAAAGAAGCAATCTACTTTAGTAATCGTCAGGCATCCTTGGGCAGATCACATGATCCTTCTTCTATGTTACCTAAGGGCTTGGATATAATTAATACTACATTTGGGAAAAAAGTCATCCAAGGTAGGAAAGTTTAGTGTTAAAACATATTTCTTCTAAATACAAGATAATCTGCAATTTAGTATCTAGCACATATTCTGTGCTTCCAACAATTCCAGCTTAATAGAAAAGTTATTATTATAACAGTTATTGAAAGGTATAAAAATGTACTAGTGTTTTTCAGTTACAATGAACAAACAAGCAACTGAGAACATTTGGTAACTAGTAGGGCTTTTGGCTCTGTTCCAGATCTGTCTTTGTAGATTTCTCTGGAGAACTGTTTAAGTAGCTGACAACTTACTTTCCTTTTCCCAACTATTCTAATAGGTCTAATAAAAGATATTACCTTGACCTGTGAATCTTTTCCTCCATAGATTGGAGCAAATCACATATGTGTTGACCATGTAGCTCTCTTGCAACAGTTATGTTCATCTCAGTTTCTGTGATTTTTTTTTTTTTTTTCCTCCCTAGTCCCATGTCTCCCATGTAAGATTTCTATAGATTGACTAGAAATGTGGTAAGAAGTATCATTCTTCCACAGTATTAGCATTTTCTCTAACAAGACATTGTTTAAAATTAAGAATCAACCAAACAAAACACCCACCCCCCTTACCTCCCCCAACCATATATTTATTCCTTACTTTCCAGATGTATCAGCTGGAGAGCTTATAAATCCACGAAAAACTTTTGAGGAAGTGGATAAAGAATCCAGAGAAGGACATGATCTGTACATTGTGTCACACAATGATTATTATGTGGGTAAGTTCAAAGGCTGCTGATAAGAAACCACATAAAAAGTTCTAATACAAGTAAAAGTAAGTGTTCCTCTTTTGTGTCTTCAACACATATTGTACGCTATTTTTTGAGATGTAAACTATTACTTTCTACTACTGTATTAATATATTATAAATTCTTTTTAAAAGTAATGATGTGAAAAAAATATGTGCAACTGAGAGAGCATGACATGTTTCTAGAATTGTAGATCACTTTGTGATGGGTGTATTAGATAGTATAAGAACTTAATGAAGGAGTTGGAAGCCTGATTTCTGTTGGGTGTTATTTGAGAAGCAAAGTATTTCCAGGTGCCCTGGTTGCTTATTGAGTTTGGCATTGTTTATGCCATTGAGAGCAATCTCAGGCTTAAAGCCACAGACTGTGAGCACAACCCATTCCAGTACTTTCAACTCTGGTTCATCTCTTTTGTCGGGGTCCAAACAGAATTTCAGGGCAGCTAGATTTTCTGATGGGGAGCTCAGCATCCAGCTCTGGTTACAAGGAGTTTCAGACTGCTGACTGACTCTCTGGAATGCAGGTTCCTCAGCCTACAGCATCCTGCCTGCGAGTCTGTCCCACAGCCTCGGCTCTGCCCTTCCAGTGGGCTGTGCCTCCACTGCTTCAGCCTCTGGGGGCTGTACTTGTGTGAAGTAGTCTGCTCAGGAATGGTTACCCTTTATCTCATAGGTCTGCACAGGAGCAGTGACAAACAGCACTCTGAAATGCAGTACATGTATTACTTTTGCAGCCACTTCTATTTTTCCCAGTTCCATCATTTCCACAGGCTGAGAGACTTACATTGCTGCTCTATAAGATTACTATTATAATAAAATTGCCCATTGCGCTAGTACCCACAGTTTTGTAAGTGTAGGCCAAACATATAAGAAACTGCAATGCAGATATTTCAGTCATAATAATGTAAATTTTACATGGAGGCAGTTACGTAGAAGTGAAATTATAGTACTGTGTTCTCTCATTGAGAAATTCTACAACAAGTACTATTGGTATAAATTGGCCAAACTTGTAATTTTATTTCCCCTCTTCCCCACCTTTATTAGATGTTTTAGTGGAATTGTTCATTATCTGTTTCTGTCTCCTTTGTAACTTCCATCCACAAGATCATGGAGAGGCCAAGACAAAAACAGACAGCAAAAAAAAAATCAACCCTGTGCCCCAGTTTTGAACAATAACATAACAATTCCATACTGCCATACAGCCAGAGGAAGCCCTTATTAGAAAGCATGGAGTGAGTAATATTTTTTCAAACTTCTAATTGCCATTATTTTCAAAAGGTGATAGAAAAGAGCTTGAAGAAACAGAATGGCATTTTTTTCTGTGACAAGAAACACGTGCTTGCAGCTCACTTACATAGAGTACTTATCTGACATTCTTGTATGTGAAACTTCATTTTATAGGCAAGACTGGATTAATAGATTCATGAACAAGTAGGGTAATATCTTGTTTACAGTGAAGTCAGTGGCAAAATTTCCACTGAAGTCAACATAGCAAGAGTATATCTGAAAGTGCAGCGCCTCAAAAACATTTTTTTCTTTTTAGCATTTTTTTAAGTAGTAAATTAAATGGTACACATCTCTGCTCATTATAAAGTGATTTGTTTGCATGACCCTCACTACTTAGGCTACCTGATATTTTTTCATTAATTCTGTTGGGCTTGTCTTCAGTCAGACATAAAAGGACATCCAACTATTTTATCACTGAAGCAGTTTTTGCTTTTTATTTTGCCTTTTATCTTCACTTTTGACAATGAGATTATTCCTAACTACTTAATAAACACGGAGAATGCAAATTAGTTCTCTTCAGTTGAACAGAATTGTTAATTAGTTATTTGCTTTTGTTTCTTCATTGTTTTGTCTTAAGAATGAAGATACTTAGTCCATTTTTCTTCCTGAGGTGTTTCATACAGGTTGAAACGCTTACTTTTTCCACAGGGGAAGCAATAAACAGGAAGTATGACTCACCAAACTTCAGCAAATCTTTTGTTTATGGAACAGAAACCCCTCACTTTAAAGATGGGCGAAGTGCATCCAAATCCTTAAATTGGCTCTATGATCTACAATTGTAAGTTGCAATGATTTAACTAGTTAATTAGTGGTGTAAGTTCTCAAGAAGTGTCTTCTTATTTGAAGATAATTTTACATCTCACAATGCCATCCTTAGTTGTATTGAACTGAATAGGAAATGCAAGGAGTAATTTTCAGAATAGTTTATCCAAATCAATTTTACCATAGTATAAGAGCACTTGGCATGTCTCTAGCATTGTGTAAAGACATCTTTGACTTTAAATAGCAAGATTTTTCAATTACTGAATTTGTGTTCGTCTTGCAGAAGAGTTGCTGTTTCCTTCTAACGTAGAATAATATTTTTTAATATTATTGAAAAATTGTTGAATATTGTTAAAGAAATATGTGTGAGAACTATTTTCATAATTTGTAGGAAGAGAGCAGCAAAAATTGTATCAAAACGAAGTGATGATTTCAAAGAAAAATTTCAACCTCAGCTTGGAAAAGTCCTTGATCCGTAAGTAAGCAAAGTTACCTTCTAAGAGCAAAATTCACTCACATTTGTCAAGTCTCCAGTATCTTTTTCTGTCTTGGGTAAAAATTATAACTATGCGCTCAATGCTTCCACTGCAGCACTCAATTACAGAAAGGGACTTTCTGCTTGCCCTAGTTAGGCTGATAAGTATGCAGGTTACTAATGAGGGCTGTATTGTGTCTATGTAGTGAAGTTAAGTCTTACTGTTTAAATGGTCTATATCTGAATTGATCAGATTTGCACCAAGCAAATTTCAAGCACACTTCGGGTTTTTTCCTATCTTTTGCAGTTTAGGAAGGTTTGAAAACTGAAATGTCTCACCTATTGTTTGGGGATTTGACTATTTTACGTACTCTGACACTATTTTTGGTCATCTTTGTCATATCACCTATATTCTCACTTTATTACTTCCTTGGCAAAGGACGTGGAACTAAATTATTTTATTATCTAGCAGCATGTTATCAGTCTCAGTCGAATCATTACAATGCTTCATAAACCTCAGGTGATCTGGAACAACTTTTTAGTTTTACAAAACAGTGCTTATGAAGAGCTACAGTAGTCCTAAGGTACAGTGTGGTTCGGATCCAGCTATGCTACAAATCTAGGGTTCCTGAACGTATACAAAGACTGTCTTTGCAGATGCTTGGGATTTCTGCAAAATTATATCTGAAGGCTCACAAACAACATTATTTACTTTGGTAGCAAAATTTAATTTTAAGCTCAAGATCACAGACTTAAGTGACTCTGGAGATCTATGCCCATAGAACCTGTAGGGAGTGAACACAAATGTGAGCCAGTTTTCTCCTCTCCCCTTCATTGTCTCCTAGCTTACTGTGAAGTAGACCTGGAGTGTGAGCAACATGAGGCAGTATGATCAGTCAGGGAATATGGGTTGCAGTGCAAGCTCAAACCCAGCACAAATATTACAAGACCGATACAAGCTAACCTAATTTTATTTAGTGAATTTTACACCAGCCACATCCTATGTGTAATATGAAAATGATAAAAGAAAAATACACATAGTAGTTTTTAGATTACAGTGCTTCCATCTCTGTGTGGGTCTTTTTGTTTGTTTGTTTTGTATTTTAGAATAAAGCACTGATTCTCTTTTCAATTTTGATGGAGATTTCTGATTCATGTAACAGTTTTAATTATTAAACATAGAGATAAAATGAACATTGCATCTTCTTAAAATGAAGAAATAAACAAACAGTTCTTTAATGTCACTAACAGCATCTTAATTTTCTGGTAAATAAAACTGGGCCAAGTTTTTCAGGTGGATATTGGCTTGGTTGCTGGTTTTGGTAGATGCAAAATTGCATGTGAAAAAGCATGTGAGATGTGATTCAATTTTTCCACTTTAGCCGAAAGTAGTTTATTTGGAGACATTATTTCAGTTGGACATCTGGTTTGTCCTAAACATTCCTATTATTTGACTAGTATGTTATAAGGACTTTTCTCACCCATTTCTGTCATTGTCTTAGAAAAAAATATATTTTAGCGTAGAATGTTTTTCCTTTTAATGAGTATAAATGTTAAAAAAGATGTTTACATTTGGTTGTGTTATATTATGAACAGCAAATGCTCTAAATAAGTTTATAAAGGCGTGCTTTTCTGGAATGGTAACTTTGAAGCAAATTTCAGGTGAATTATGTGTATCATCCCTAATTATATAACAGATGATCACATTTTTTTTAATAATAGCATAGGGTTTATTTTGGCTATTAATAAACTATTTGACAATTAACAAAAAAATGTGCTTATTAACAGTATAGCAGAAACTTTGAATGTTCCCCCAGGCCATACATTTGGAATGTTACTCCGTCGAGATGAATATGGTAAGTTCAGGGGCAGAATAAAATCTTATCTTGTTGATGAAACTATGCTGAAATAATTACTGTTGGTTGTGTAGTATATAATTTTCCTAAAATCTTAGAGGCAAGGTACAAAAATTTAACAGTGACACTAAATTTTTAGAGGGAAAATTTGAGAAGAATTGAAATTGCTAGTGGAAAAAAAATGAATGTCAGAAATAAAGAAACTTTAAGATTTTTTTTTTTTTTTAAAGCCTCTGTAACTGAACGTAAACAAAATGGGAAAGAGCGGAAAACTCATATTGACATCTAAGTGACAAAGTTAAAATGGCTATTTAAATGAATATGTCTTTCCTCTCAATGATTTTTCCAGCATTTCTATAAAAAGAGTAAAAATATCAAGGAATAAATAAGAATAATAAGTTTTTGAAGGTAGCAGAGAGACAGAAAACAGATTGAAATAATAAATTATTAGTTTTCATTATGACAAAATTTTGAAAACTAGTCAACTCAAATAGTCAATGTTGGGACTGATGGTGTTTTAATGTTATGTTTAATGACTAGCCAATACAGTGAATAGGTAGGCAGCAAAAAATGTAAGTGGCTCAAAGTTATTTAATTAGTCAAGACCAGAGGAGGCTTGTTCAAATTTTGCATAAGCTTTTATACATGCTTTACTGTATAGAGTAATAAAGTTAAATATTTTAAATATGTAGGTATGCTTGTCCTATAAGGAACAGCAGAAGGAACTGAACAAAAAAATTCATTACTAACAAGTAGAAAATAATGCATGTACATTGCTGTTAGAAGGGGATTAGGTGAGCTACTGCCATTTGTTATTGGACACTGAATGAACTTCTTGCACTCTAGAAAGTGACCCTGGTTGTCTTGGGGCCTTGGATGAAGACTGTAGTCAGTGTGCCAAAATGTTTAAAAATACTAACAAAGTTAGGATACGTAGAAAATGGGAAGAGTAACACAAAAATAATACATTGTCTTTCTAGAAATCAGTGGTATATAATTATCTGAAATATTACATTGACTTTTCTGTTGATTCTTGTAAGTATCCTGAAATACGACAGACTGGAAGTGATAGATTAATAATATATGTTCTTTTGCTCTCAACTGTCTGGACATCAATAACTCTTACTGCTGTCAGAAGCTTTTGGAAGCAGTGGATGGATTTGTGAAACTATATTAAGATGTTGCAAAATTTTTTATATTAACTGCATGTGAGTAGAGAAATCATCATACGGACCATTTGATCTTTTAATGAGATGGCCATATCGGATGCTCAGCAGTGCTGAAAATCAGCATCTCTAAACTGAAATTCTCCTTTTCCTTAAGACTGTAAGCCATTTTTTAAAATGTCCATTTTCTGTATGCACAAGTAATGGAGGAAGTGTTTATTTTTATAGGAGTTGGTGATCTTCTTCACTGCTGGGTTCCATGTGAGTTTCTCCATGGTAAAGACAGAGAGAGAGCTGTCTTGACTGCAGTTCGGCAAAGTTTGAAGGAAGCTAACTATGAGAATTTTGACATGTTACTAGAAGCATTCAGGCATTATGATAAGGTTAGTGCTGTGAAAAAATATAAATGTAAAGGAGTGTGTGACATTAGTACTCCTGTGCTATGGGGAAATACAGACGTGAAGAAACACAAGCATAGCAAGACAAATATAGATGAAGACTATAAAGACAAGGTAACTTCATAGTTACTGTATGTTTAATATACTGTGATATGTTATGGAATTAAACACAACAGTATTTGGAGCCTTTCACAACAGTATTTGGAATATCCAAGTTAACAGCAAGCAAAGGACTGGTGAGCAGGAATAATCTTAGAATTTTTTGCTCTTCAAAATTTGGTAATTCTTAAAAGAAATCTGATTGAAGGTATTATGTTCATATTTTCTTCCAAGCTGTACTTTTTGACTGAGTCACCAAGCATCAGAATTTCGTATCTTTTCTTTTTTTCTTCTCTGGAAAAAAATTTATAATTGACATTTCATGTGTAACATTAATTATAATGTATACAGAATGATTGATGCCTTACTTTCAAAAGAAATCTTGGCTTTGCCTCAACATTTATGATTAGATTGTTATCTTGTCACAATACCCTGTCACACTGACTTTCTTTTAATCTCAAATCACTGTATTACTTAAGTCGGAAATTATTTATTGACACTTTTCTATTCAGATTTTTAATTTCTGAATTACTCAGGGTTTCTTTTTGTACTCAGCAATGTTACTCTTCTGAAATGGTGTGCCTGGCACTATACATATATCTTTACCTGTAAATATAAATACATGTGTATGTATTCCTTTTCGTGGAGCCTTTTTATAATCGCTTTTATAGCAATTGTTTTATTTTATTTGTAATAGAATGGCAATGGAATGATAGACAAGGACGACCTGCGAAAGTCCTGTTTTCAGCTTAATCTGAATCTAGATGAAGAGCTCCTGGATTCCTTGTTTGACTATTGTGATTTGGATAATGATGGTCTGATTAGTTATGTGGAGTTTGCAAACTTCCTGAACTGGAAAGACAAGACGGCTGCTAAAGAGTTTGAAGAAAAAATAATTACAAAAGGTAGATGACTTAATACTGGGAAATTGTGGAGATGATCTTGTTCTTACAACAGCTACTGAAAGGACATTGCTGGTGTCGGACTAGGTGTTCCTTTAGAAGGGTAGGATTTAGAGAGTGCATTTAGTCCGTGCCTGCCACCAGTACGGCCTCAGATACAAATGTATTTCAGAACCCTGGAGTTCTGTGTTGCATGTTGAGAATGTCCCATAAATCAGGAGAAAGTAAAAAAATCTCGTAGAATCATTATCAGATATGCATATTAATTATATTATGTTATCTACTTTATAGTTTTTCAAGGATTCAAGCAATGTTTTTTACTTCTTAGTCTATAATGTGCTGATAATAAATCCTGGCTGTACCATAACTTTTGTTTATAGGAGAAAAACTAGATGCTCCTGTTCTGCCTGAAGACACAAAGACAAATGATGAGCCACTGCTGAAGCAGGAAGATCTCTTGTTAAAAGAACCGGGAAGCTCAGAAAAGACACCAAAAATGCTAACACGATCAGCAGATCATGTATTTGCAAATTATCGAACAACTTCTTCTCAGTATAATGCTGTAGTAGGTGGTCTCCCAACAACTTGTAAGTACAGTGGACTGTACTTCTCACTTCTGAGCATTATTTAAGACAAAATCAGGAACAAGTTTAAAAAGTATTGCTACAGGTTCTACTAATGTACAATGGTGAATTAATTTACCTAAACTAAAGTTGTTTAGGATTGTGGCTTGGAAGCTGGCATGGCTTGGATGTTTGGCATGGTTAATTCATTCAAAACATGAAAGTTAATCTAGAAGTCTTTGAGAAATTATGCTAGTAATTTTAGGAGAACAATATCTTCTTGGAATCACCTAAAAATGTTTTTAGCTGGAAGTACTGGATAAGTATTAGAATATTACCGCAAGATTTCCTGTTGTCATGCTTCATGATGTAGCTGAAGCTAGGAATTCTAAAAATATGAAAAAAGATGAGGAATAAAATTATATAAATTCTTACTGAACCTATGTGAGATGAAGTATCAAATTTGCTCTCATTTCACACAAAATGTTTTATCCTTCATGGCACTATCTTTACATACAGGCTTTTCCATGCTACCTGTTGATTGATGTCCACAGGTTATCCAGTGTGTGGTGTTCCAACTATTCGTTCAGATATTCCTGCTCCTCGAATTCGCCGCATCAGTGACAGAACTAATTACGGTGATGAGGCCAATGCTTATGCATTATTGTTCCCTTCTGTCTTCAGTCAAAAGGGAGTGTATGAAAGCGACTTTTTTAAAACAAGACCAAAGGCAGAGGTATAGTGCATTTCTTCAGAATATTCTTCCAAGATAAATGCACCTCTAGCTATGTGGGAGTGGAAAGTCATATTATCAAATAAACAGGTTGTAAAATTAATTGTTGCAACATTACCATCTTTCTTTACATCCATTCAACTATGTGAAAAATATGTACTCTTCACATTCAAAATTATTCATAAAGGTGGTAGGTATTAATTTTATTGAGATCCAACTTCAGTAAGTAATATAAGGAAGTACATCAGGTTGTTGCTACTCACATGCTCAAATGTTGTATCAAACGAGGGTTGGTAATTAATCTAGGGCTTAAGAGTCTGTGACTCATCATTTCTGCAATGTGAGAAGAGCAGAGCAGTTGTGAAACTTCCATCCTTGGACATACTCAAATTTCTGAGCAAGGTCCCAAGCAACATGGTTTAATGGTAAAGTTAGCCCTGCTTTGATTATGTGGTTGGATGGATGATCTCCAGAGATCTCTTCCAACCTGAGTTATTCTATGAATAGATGTCTTAAAAAGCCCCACGAGAAGATTTTTACAGGTGTGTAAAACTAGCTTCTATCACAGAGGGATGTTCAGTGGAAAATTTTACTCAAGGTGTCTCTCCTCAAACAAACTTGCAGGTTTTGCTAATGGCAAATTCAGGAACCTGCTTGAATATACCTTTTAAGTGCTCTGCTGAGTCAGGGTTGTAGGCTCCGATCTACAAAGGACTTGTACAGTGATAGAGGATATAGGGAGTCACACACCAATGCTGTGCCGTCTCATATTTCTGAATAGAAAGATAGGACATGAGACTGTAGGGACTTACTTGGGGACTCTCTGATTTTTCCATCTGGTATAGCCTAGGGGCGGCACGCCAATGTCGG